GATACAAATGTCAATAATACATAAATAGACATTTATATAAATTATATTGATGTGCATGTTTACGTCACTCGTGCCTTATTTGCCTCAAAAATGTATCTAGCAAGTTTACGAATAACGCTGATATTATCAGCACTTAGTAACTGTACAAGTTTAAACATTGAAGGATTTCGCCAGTAATATGGTTTTATGTATTTTACTCTCAGAATATGAAAATTGTTACAAATTAAAATAAAATGATATTCGTCTTCAATATCTGAAATGCAGTGTATATGGCGCGCCCTAGAAAGGTCCAAAAATGCCCTGATGAGTAATCAGGTAAGACTGAAAATTAGAAGAAAAAAAAAAAGATTTATTAAATGAGTTCCTTTATTTTTATTGTATTTTATATTTCATTGATATTTTTCACTCTTTTTAAAATGAAATATGTTCTCTGTGAAAACGAGAGAACAACATCTGAGCTGGTAATTGTTTTTACAATCCAAAAACAACCTACGATACATTATGTTTCTTACTTCACTAATCTATCTAAATGTGCTCTTTTATACAATAACACTTCGCCTTGAAACAAATCTAATATTTGAGCAAAAGTATGCCGTGTCAGATGTTGTTGCGGCGCCGATATATACGAATGGGAAGCCTAAAGATGTGTGTTAGCACGAACATGGAGAATTGCTCAAATGAATCCTAAGATTTAAAAAAAGGCATTTTAAACAGTGCAAAAATGAAGGAAAAATACTTGAATATCATCATAAAGACACCTGTTTTGAGCTTACAAGTCATGCATATTTAAAAAAGAAATACCATTTTTAGACACTGAAAGGATCGATCTAGGATCTAGTAAATCGGATTTTGGTCAACATAGAATAGAAAAAATATAAACATTGCGAAGACTTAAAACAAAAAACAAACTCAAATCCTGTTTTAAAATCAAGTTTTATATTAATCTTTTAAGGAAGCAATCTGCTTAATATGAAAAAAAAACATGATGTTAGATAAAAATCAATTTTTATTAAAGCTTGTTGATGTCTAATATATATCCTTACAATACTAAACAAAGCAGGACATCTGTTCTTGTATAGAGATCGTTTATCTTTCTAACAGAACTATACGACGTCCTAAGATTTTTGATGTCGTATGTAAAATTAAACAGCACAATATCTCGTCCTTTAGCATAGTGGGATTTTCTTTACCATCCGTTATTTTCCTTCGTTTCTTTGGTTACCATCCATCAATTTCCCTCGTTTCTTTGATTTTCTCTTGTGTTTCTTTCGTTACCATCCGTCACTTTCCCTCGTTTCTTTGATTTTCTCTTGTGTTTCTTTCGTTACCATCCGTTATTTAACCCTTTGTTTCTGTGATTACCATCCCGCATTTTTCATTGTATTTCTATGATTACCATTCTTCAGTTTTCCTCGCGCATTCTCGGTGAATTCAGAAACAAATATATTCTCCGTAATTGTACGTTTCCTCGAATTCCGTCAAACTTCTTTGATCTTATTTTCAGGTGCCCTAGATAATCATCCTTTTATTCTACTGTTTTTTCTTCACTTCTGCTTCTTTGTTTTCTTTATACTACTATTTTCGATTCAGCTTATTTGTCTATAAGATACGATATCATTTAGGAGTAAAGGGCTAACTAGTGTATCACTTGTACGTATATGGAAGTTCTACCGACAGCTGTTAACCGTTTGGTCAAGACCTTGGCTTTTATATCCTGTATCACACCTGCATAACGATTGACCAATTTCCTCTGAGCACTTACTCGTACGTTTGGTGAAAATCGACACTTACATGGGGAAAGAAACATTCAATTAAGTAGGTTTTCTAGATAATCTACATTTTAAATAAGGATATATTTGAAAAGATGGTGAACAAGTACCTTTTGTTGGTATATCGTAGCTTATCAAAAGCAGTATTCAAAAGCTTCACAGCAAACTTGTTTAATAATTGTTTATTTCTTTGAGACGATGTCAATACATGACTGATTTGGCGATGGAAAGATATTTTATGCACTTCCTAGTCAGTTTAAAAGAAAATGTAGTACAGGATCCTGATGTCACCGGGTGTGGCACCTGTGTGGGGTATATTGGACATTTATATCCGGCAAACCCAGATGTGGAAGAACGCCATTAACATGTAAAGTCGTCAATGTTACTTCTTCCCGGTATTCTATTGATTTAAAATCCACTTATTGTTGTTTCACTATTTATAATAGATTGTTATTACCATTAATGCTGCGCTATAACAGTGACTGTTGAAAGTAACAGGAAGCATCATTAGTTGTTAGTATTCTGTGATCGAGTCAGCAATTACATGCCACTGTCGGGTCATACATAATATATCACAGACGATACAGTAGCCTGCCAGCGTACACATTTGTTATAATTTACGCACCGTATCACAAATCCTAGAAGTGTAAAGCACATCACAGTAGATTGCATGTGTCCCATATGTGGAATGACCATGTGGGAACGTGTTTCTCTTACCCTGGACAGGTGTATGCAAACTTTTCCCCGATGTGGGATATCTTTGTTTTCCACCATTTACAGAATTATCTCCAATATGACCTGTTCATGGTTCCTCTGTCAAGCCCTGGGTATAATTTCTCTTTCACTCTCTAAGGTATGACAGATTGTACGTGAATAGAAACAATACTGTGTCGTTATAATCAGATAGGACGTCAGAACCAGCTCTCAAGTGTCGAGAAAAATCATTTGCAAATCTGGATAAAAACTGATAACTTGTACAAATGATAAACACTAGCATTGACAAACAAAGAAGCGGAATGCCTGGGGTAAAAAATCCCTACATTGATGGTGTAACAAGAGAAGTAATTGTTTGGTAGTCAACCCCTTGACAGAGCTTCGATTATTTTTTCTAGATCCGTAGGGAATGCATAAAAAAAAAGTTTGAATTAAAATGTTTATGACAATGTCGGCTAACGTTCTTTACCTTAACGTCATTTTGATGTTACAATGTGATACGTGACGTAATTTAATCATTTCCTCACTAAAATAAATAATTTGCTGTGAGCTCGAGTAAGTTTATTAAAGATGGTTTCGCCAATTATTTATGGTAGTTGTTATTCCCTGCTCAACGTCCAGCTTTTAGGGTGATCACAACAGCTGGTTTACCTGTTGTCAGTTTGATATGACCGGGTGGGGTGGTATGTCAGTGAGGTAGCACTCTGAAGTCGGCATCATATCCGTGCTATCACAAGGAGGCATGTAGATCCACATACCCTGCCTCCAGCTACCGCATGCACGCATACACTACACATATGGAGGCACGTCCTTGAATGACCTTAGCTGTTCATAGGACGTGAAATTTGATAAAACCAAACAAAATCGCTAATTATTCAGTTCACCATCTAACCGAAAAAATCTTACCATGACTGAAATCTATTCTTAAAATAAAACATTTCACAAGTATTTAACGCATATATTATATGTATTCCGTCTATGAATCAACTGAATAAAAACAATTATTATTCGGCTTAATTAGTTTCTGATTGTAATAAAAGTCTTTGTTCTTGTGTACTTGTTTTCGTCGTACATATCTATCTAATAATCTATATTTAGCCTTACGCGACCTAAATTGTTGACGACCCGTAATAACAATACAAAACAAAGCAATAATAACACAGTCTAATGTTTTAAGTGACCTGATGGTTTGTTCACCGAGCTGCTAAACAAACACACTACAAGGATTATAGCTAAGTGATTGCCTGTCCGATACTGAGTTGTCAACGACTCATGATCGTACCGATCACCAGCTCCATTTACGGTTGTAAAATAGCCCCAGTTGTTACGTTGCACCGTAACAAATATTGACACGGATCTATTTTTAACAAATTCAAATAGAAACTAATTTGATTTTCGATCTTCCATTACTAAAGTTGAGTCATAGACTGGTTCATGTGGGAAACGTTTCTACCATGACGTCATAGTCACAGCTTTAGTCAGTTATGTAAAACAGTAAATAGGGGATTTTTTTGTACAAGATTATTAATGAAAAAGTACAGCACATAAAAACTTAAAGTTGATGTTCAATGTATAACCTGTTGTTTAAAGGGCAGCAAATAGCTATTTGAAATCAAAACAAGATGAAAGTAATCGGGTTTTTTTCAAGACTTGTGATATATTGTTAAAAATTAAACATTTTGTTTTTATTTCAATAAAAATGGTCAAATAATTGTTCCATTTCAAAACCAACAACCGAATACAGATAAAAAAAATATGACAAAGTAAAATAAATGATTATTTTCTTTTGGGAAGAAGTGTGTATCTATATATT